AGATAAATACTACCAAATATAAATAAGATAAAATCCATATCAATTCAAATTGACCATATCTCTTTAAAACAAACTTGCTACAAAATAGATAAAACCATGGTCAATATATCCCTTCCAAGATTTGACCACATGCCACAAATCAAACTAACCTTATCTTAAAAGCAAATAAGAGAATCCAAAGAGGGTGGGGCGTGCCACCCTTTTGTGGTACATCTGGGCCCCCACCCACATGCCACATGGTGGGCCCATGTGCACTATAGGCTCCCATGGAATATTATAAAAAAATATTATTTTTAAAATTGAATAAAACAATTGAAAATATATATTTGACTTTTTATAACTTTGTAAGAACAATAACTGTATTTTTATATATCTAAAAATCACAAATAAAATATTGAGAGATTCATAAAAATTCAAATAATAAAACTAAAATCATTTCAATAATAAAATGAACACAATTAAATTAATATGATGGGAAAATGATCCATATGGTTTTAGGAATCCAATCTGTAATAACGTGGTACTCCACCTTCAACTGTGGACTACAAACCACACTAGCTTTATCAAACCTACCCAGTATTTCCCATGACCCACAGTCCAAGCAGGGGCTCATTAGCAGGTCACCAAAGTCAAGTCGATGAATCAATGGGTCGCAATCCCAGTTTGTGGATTACATGTCCTCCCATAAAGACAAGTCAATGTCACCACGACCTGATGCGACTACAGCTCTATGGCGCATAGAGGTATCTATCACACATGCATACGCTTCACCCAAAGGTAGATTTCTGGCTTTTTCGAACGATCTATCAATATGCATGCCGTGTGATGAAACATTGATGAGGTTTTGGCCCTCGTTTCAATAGGCCACCATCACACACAAGGGTCATATAGTCCCTCGGCTCACTCATCTGGGTATGTTCTCCGACCTCATCAAGGGCTAACCCATAAACCCTCATCGGTTTGTTCTTCATGCCCAAGTGACATGGAGTTTTCCCAACTGACTGGCCTAGATAGTTAAGCACAGATCGGTATCAGCAAACTATCGTTTGCTTAGTATGGTCCACGAGAGACCACACTTCCACTGAGTTCATGTTCCAATATATCATTTTATTTTACAAGCACTCATAAGGCCTTTAAAGGCCACATAAACCCAACAAAAAAACCATAATTTCATAAATTTCAAAATTACATACCATGTGGCTTGATGCACTTGTACATTATAACTCATCATAAACTTATCCAAAATCCTAAAGTCTATGCAACTCAAAGACCATCTTGAACTCCTTAAAATCCATTTTTCTCTTTAGAAATGGATTTATTACTCTCAAAAGGTGCAAATTTGACTTATTTAAGGTCCATTTAAATGGATGGTTGATTTAGGACAATGCATTTTTAGGCCTACTAATGTACGATGTTGATCTTGACGATCGAAACGATTGATTTATGTGGACCATCTATCTATCCTCAGCATGTCTAGGATTGCAAGATTGAGTCACTTGGTCTGCTCCACTATTCATGAGTGAGCACTTTTCTTTAGCCCTCTTATCAAGAAAAAATCACCAAAACTCCAACAGCTCTGCGGATAAAAAATAAAGAAAATATGCTCCCCCCTCATTTTCAATGAAACCTTCCTTAATGAGAGTATTTTGATCTTCTTTCCGCGCAAACTCTAAAATCTCTACAACAAAATATTTTGAAATGTGAGAGGATTCAAGTACAAGCGAGACTATAAAGTGATTTTGACAAAGGCATAGTCAATTTGGTGATTATCATTAATGGTTATTTCTATCAAAATGAGTGGCAAATTGGACAAAGATAAAAATGTGCCCCAACAAATGGTTAAGACTTATGTTACTGAATAGATTTAAGAAAATGATATATTTAGGCTCCTCTGATTTTTAGGTGGATCTCAAATTTTCAGATTAAAAAAAAAAAATAACTCTTTTACTGAAGGGAGCTAGTATACAGTCTACTTGTGTGGGAGCACGCAGAGCATAGGATTAAAAAGGGTAAGTACTAGGCATTTGTCAAATTTTAATTTTCCTATGGGAACATAAACCTTGATTGTTACGGTGTACATGAATAAAATGTAGATAAACTTATTAAATGATGCTCTCTCCACCATCAATTGTGGATATCATCTCGACTGTCAACATTAAAAAATGGAAGGTGGCGATGAGCTGTTCTTCCTTTCAAGTTTACCATTTGGGGGAAAGGATGGCTCATTGCAACCATCCATTACTGAGTATAGATGGTGGAGATGCTTCATGTAGTAATACCACATTAATAGTATTGCCAAGACCATTCCTTTGATTCAGGGATTTGCTATGAAGACTTCACAAAGAAATTTCCAAAGTAAATCTTCGAGAAGGAAAATCCACACAAAAAACAAAGGGTTGATGCATTCGTCTTAGGCCCAGTTTGCTATGAAAATTTCACAAAGAAATTTCCAAAGTATTTGGAAGTGCATCTTATTTTAATAGTAAATTTATAAATGCTTAAAAGTTATGAAAATGGACACAATTAATTTGTTGCAAGATGCATTACTTTTAGGATTTGAAGTCTTTGTTTTCTTTCCCTATTCATATATCTCGATATCTAGATGATCAATTATAGCGTTTTTTAAACAAGAAATTTACATGAAGCATCAAGCTGATACTTATAAAGGCGATAATCTACACAAGGGTTTTTTGCACCAAAGCTACGTCTTTGGTAGAATTTGGAAGTGTATCTTATTTTAATAGTAAATTTATAAATACTTAATAGTTATGAAAATGGACAATCTCAGTAATTTGTTACAAGATGCATTATTTTTAGGACTTGAAGTCTTTTGTTTTTCTTTCCTTATTCATATATCTCGATATCTAGATGATCAAGTATAGGGTTTTTTGATGTCCGAACAACCTTTTTTCAGGTAGATTTTGTAGGTGCCACTTCCTTCGATAGTATAAAGTTGATACCTTACATAAACTTTTTTCTATAAATAAATGGCCCCCCAATAGGGTGTTCTATATTAATTACAAAAAATATAAAACCAAAATAAAGCACATAAACTATGCTCCCTTTAAAGCAGTATTATCCATCACCTCCCTCGCTTAAAAGACCTTCTTGGGAGATTTTTTAGCCTGAAATTCTGAGAACAACCTAAAATCACTACATGATTATTTTCAAATGAAAAAATTTGAATTTTCAGTTTTTTACACTCAAACCTTGCCTTTTAAAAATTGGACAGTCTTTGTTCAATCTCAAGACATTAGTTTTTAGGTCTCAAGACATTAGTTTTTAAGAAAGTATATGATGAGACCATTTACCTTTAGTACAAAGTGACCACAATTAATCTTGACCATTGGATATGAAATTGGGTAGCTGCATTTATTTCATTGATCAAGCTCAAAGTTTAAAAAAAAATTTCTCCAACTTTGTGACACATCCAAACTATCAAATTTTAGATCACATGAATATCAATAATTGTGACCTGCATGTACCAAACGTAAATCGTCTCATTGTATACAATCCCTTATTTTTTTCAATTAAAAAATATAAACCTCCATGTACCAAAAGTAAATCATCTCATTGTATACAATCCCTTATTTTTTTCAATTAAAAAATATAGAGATCTCCATGGAGAATTTTTTTTTACTTGGTTCAAGATGTTACATCTCCAAAAACTTAGGGTCTTAAAATTACTCACGTATTGAGTTTTACCTGAGGTAGAGGGATGTGCTCTCCCGTGAGGATATAAAAACTCTACGCAAGATTATATACCCCATATTAAGATTCACCCCCTTTGTAGGCGGTATTTGGGAACTCCAAAATTTGAAAATATAACCTCTACTTATGATCAACCTCAAACGAAGAAGAAAAACAATCACAAAACAAACGTTTTGAAGTCAAAATCAAATTTCCATGTTTTAAAAATACGCATCCAGTGGCTCTAAAGTGTGGATTCCAAAATTTTAAATCGAGGAAATCCTTACTATACAAGTCCTTTGCGCAAGGGAGGAGATATACAATATGCTCCTGCAGAAGCACGCCATAGAGGCCATAAAAAAATACCCATAAATGGGTCCAGTTTCCACAAACCCTTTACGCTCTCTCTCTCTCTGCACCAGTGCTTTATGCCTTTAGCATTGTAAGTCCACAACCTTGAGATGGCTTACACTCTAATCTACCAAAAATTCCAGCTCTGATCATACACCAGACAAAGAGGAAAGCTGGTGCCAATCCTGTTATCAAATCCTAACACATCCAAGGCCAAGGTTCAGGCTCGGGCTTGGATTTATGGTATCATGAGATTGTAGTACAGCGCCCTCAGTTGGAAAAGAAGAAAATAACACATTTAAAAGCCCCATTTCAATATCAGTGAATTTTCATGCGAATGCTCGGAGCTTGTGTCATTCTACCATTCATTCGGGCTGTATACTAGGCTAAATAGTTAATACTTTTCAACTCTCACTGTCATTTCCTGAGCCCTCCATTTACACATCCATGTTCAAGACAATTCCTAGAGAGAGAGACCAGTTCCTATAGTAGCAATAACATGACTGTTATATATACCTGCATCTCAAGAACTGCATCATTTCAACCTTCAACCTCAGGATTTGCTCTTATACACTCCTTCCCCTCTCAAAAGCAAATAATTGATAATTCCAGTGAGACTAACAACCAGGAGAACCAAGATGGAATATATGGCGTGGGAAAGCAACCACACATGACCCTAGTATCGCATATGGTACACCACCGGAGCAACCAACTTTTGTTATCCACACCTGTGTCAATCTCCATCATCTGGAACTACATGTAACGAGTACCATCCATCAATGGAAGCGAACAGTGGATGCAAGGGTGATGTACCATAGACCTTATGCCCCCTTAAGCTATCCTTTTCAAAATGAAATGCTGGTCTAATTATTAAGGAAGCTTCTAACTTTTAAAGAGCTTCACCATTCAGAACTCAAGAAGCCAAGAAAGAAATAGCAAATCCTCTTGAGTATAAGAGAGGAGAAATAAATCCATACCATCGTTTGCAATAGAAAAGATCCAATCGATTAAAAGCATATTGATCATGTTAGGACCAAGTTTTTTCCTTCTTTCAAACAGTATGGAAGCCAAAGACAGCAGAAGCAGGATAAAACCTGTTGAAAGTTGTCATTAGCGCATAGACACAGTATCATACAAAAGATCTTTCAATATGGGATCCTGATGGGTAGAAAATAGGAAATGACAAAGAAATTGAGAATTGAACACGCCCAACCCTGCTTTCCTGCATGAAAATAGAAATGCTTCTTATTAGTGAACTTGTCACAATCAACTCATTGTAAAACATTAGATAATTTTTAGTATAACCACAAATTGCAACATAAAAGCATGAATCAGAACAGTTGAGAACAGTGACAGTAAAAATCCATTCACGTAAGAGGGTAGAAATATATTTACTTGAACAGCAAAATAAAATAAAGAAAGAATAAAATGCACCAAAAATCCATCAACCAATCCAAAGAGTAAACGTCAAGTTGCGCCTGAAGTGCAAACCGCGAAAAATACATGAGGAGACTAGCCCAATGTTAGCGAGACCTCAAACTCCTGCTCAAACAGCGACAAATTTTACCCAATGGCTTACCAAGCTAATAGCAGCTTTGAATGTTCTTGGAGCTAATAATGCGTGAGTTAAGAACTCCAGAGCATCAGGAAGAGCAAAATTCCCCTACCATTGGCAATTATAATGAGTTGTGTCTTGGCAAAACTCCTCATATCTTTGCCTTCCCCAGAGAGGGAGGATACCAAAGATTGAGTAAACATCCTGAGACATTTCAAAAGCTAATCGCCTTCACCGCTGTAGTATCATTCCATGTAGGGGACAAAGCGTCCATGGGGCTGAACACAAGCTTACTTTTCTTTTCACTAACTACTTGTACAACATCCTTCACTCCAACATGTATTTGCATCATGAACAACCTGAATCACACTATAAAATGTAGGAAGGCATTTCTACACTACAATATCGTGAAGCACAATTCCAAAGGGAAAATTAAGAAAGCTCAAATAATATCCACTTTGCATAATTCTGTCATCTAAGCTTAAACTGCAACTCTTCTGATCTTTCTTATAGTCGTCCAAGATTTAGTCCTCTTCAACCATTTCACCATCCAGAGACGCTTGTAAGAGCTTTCCAGTTTAACTTGAGGCTCAATCACTGTATAAAGGATTGTTTGACAGATCTCAATGAAGAAAGGTCAAGACACATTTTGAAATGACATAAAAAAGCCTCTAACTTAGTTTCCCACATGCCCCCCAAGTTCTCATACTGTAAAAAGAAATATTCTCATAAATAATTAAATAACACGGTGGGAATTGTTCTCTTCAGGAAATTAGCTAAATATAAAACATTGCAATCTATCTGAAAACTAGTTGACTTAATCTGAAATGTATGACCTCCCTTATTGCCAGGTTCTATTTTCGTTATGCAAATAGTGACTACAAGTGGTGATCTTCTCTCCTACATGTTTCTTTTGTTCTTATCTTTGAAAAAGGAAAATTCTGGGAATCTCAGCAATTAGAAGCACTTCACTTTGCATCTTAACCACCCAGCAATTACAGATGACTCATACCAACACAGGCATCCAAGACAATAAAAAGGAAAATATCCCTTTAACCCTTATTTTTAACTTCTATAACTCATGAGACCCAAGAATTGAGAATATTACTTGTAAGCAAAAAGCCTCCATATTTTCCATCTTATAACCCCCTAGACCCCTTTGACCCTAAATTTTTGACCCAAAGAAACACTAAAATGACACCCTATCCTCTCTCTCACATCACTATCTCTCTCTCTAAACCCCATCTCTCTCTCTCTAAAACCCAAAGTTACAGAGAAAATTCCCCTCTCTAAAATTTATCTTCTCTCTCTAACAATTATCTAAAAATTATCCCACGCTGCTTGCCATTAGAGAATCAGATTCTTAATCCAGAAAGCAAGTTGCCAATTGCCACTGAGAGCCAACATTCTAGAGGGAGAAAGAAACAATAGGGCCTCAAAGCCCCTAAAGTAAAAGTTGGACTTCAAAACTTTTTTTCCATTTCAATGGCATCTGAGCCCTCTCCAAAAACCCTAATTTCTCCCTTGAAACTCTCTGAAATAGACAAAGATGGCTCCTTTTATGGAGATTCTGTGAACGCCCCAGAAGAACCCCCTAAAAGCGTTAGCAAGAAAACAGCAAAGAAAGAAGCCGTGAAAGCTGAGAGGTTGAAGAAAAAGCAAGAAATGGCAGCCTCTGCAGCTCTAGTTGATGAAGCAGACCCTCTGGCTTTGCATTACAGAGATATTCCTTTGAAGGAGCTTCAATCTTAGGAGATCAGTGGTCAAGCATGGATCGAATTGAAATCGTTATCAGATGAATTGAAGAATAAAGAGATGTTGATCTGAGGCCAGGCTCAAACCATTCGAGCTGTGAGCAAAAACATGGCTTTCATTGTAGTGAGAGAGAGGGGCTTCACTGTGCAATGTGTTTTCACTGTTGCTCTAGGGTTTGTCATTAAACAGATGGTTAAATTTGGTTCACTGTTGCTCTAGGGTTTGTCATTAAATAGATGGTTGTACAGAGAGAGGGGGTTCACTGTTGCTCTATGGTTTTCGCTGTACAAATCAATCCAGATGTCGGAAAACACCAAAGAATGATTCAACCACCATGAGCGGCCCCCTGGTCTCATATTCCGGTGCAGCAGCTGATTTTCTGGCGACTCATGGCCTGAAAACTTGCCGGAAATTGGATACCATCTTCACTTTTCTCCGCCTTCTCTGCATTGACTCATCAATAACAGCAATAACATTCATGGTCTCTGCTCATCAATTGCAATCTATGGATTCAACCTCCAAGTTGACTCCAAATGGTCATGTGAGAGGAGTTTAGAGAGAGAGGTGGTGATGTGAGAGAGAGGGATAGAGTGTCATTTTAGTATTTTTTTGGGTCAGTCAAAGGGGTCCAAGGGGTTGTAAGATAGAAAAGATGGCCAGCTTTTGCTTACAAGTAATATTTTCAATTCTTGGGTCTGATGAGATAGACAAGTTAAAAATTGGGGATATGGGGATATTTTCCCAAAATAAATTAACACACTCATCCTCAGTTATCCACAGGCCAGTTTGGCAAATTCTGTAACCTATTTACGCATTAGACCCAAAAAGCCAAAAAAAAAAAAGAGAATGAATATTACACAGTACCACAAAAGACAAGTTTAATTTTCTTTTTCTGTTATTTATACAGTCAAGGTGAGTTAACAATATTTTATAAAACATAATTTTTGGATAACATTTCCCAGTTTTTTTTTATTTAATTGTTGACAACATTTTGCACTTACCATTCCACAAACAGTATCTTGGAATATTGGTGGGATCTTATCAGCATGATAGATCTGATCAATGTAAATTAAATTAAACAAACTCAAAGAAAGGTCCGATATACTACTATAGAACTATTTTGTGATCTAACACAATAAAACACAGAATGGATAGTCTCACCAGCAAGGATTGGATTCTCAATAAAACAAATAAATTACATGAAAAAACCTCACATAAAAAAGAATGAATTATAATCGACACATTAAATACTCACAACCACACAAGGGCTACTTTATTGTCCTAATTCAAACAAAGTTGGAGGAATATGTCCTGAAAGGACAAAACTATCAACAACTTAAACGGGGATCAAAAGCACTTTGGCTGCCACCAAGTTAGAGATGGATGGTGGATCCAATTTGATATTCTCCATATGGTCATTGGTCAATATTTCAGCCCTCAATCCTGAGTGGGTGATGCCATAGTGTTATCACCATCCATGGGGATAAGATTAAAATAACCAAAATTCCCCTAAGCTCCAATAAGATGTAATGGGGTCAAGTCTGTTCTAAATCCAAAAATAATTGAGCAGAATAAGATAGTTCGCAAAAGGGAATAAAAATGCATGTCAGTAAATCCCAAAATCATACACACATGTATGTATCATGCATTTCATCGGTGTTTGTGTTTATAATTCAAATATCAATGTTAAAACATGTTTGACGTGTCAGGCCGGAGAGGTTCAACCAAAATCGATCCCCAATTGATCCAGTCCAATACTAAAACCAGAAAAAGAAAAGACAGAAAAGCTCGAAACTTAAATGTTACAATCAATCTTGAAAATAGTTTTGATGGACCCAGGGTCTTCATATATAATCTCAAAGAAAACCACCACTTCTGAAAAGTGAGGGCCAAAAGGCTCCAAAATAAGTCTCTCCACTCCAAAACCATTCTCCTTCATTAAAAAATAAAATGATAACAATAATAATAATGATAATGATGATGATTTGGGACTCCAAATATGCCCAATACCAAATCTGGATTGTGATGGACAGTGGATTTGGAGCTCTAAATAAATTCTTCCTTAGAGAAGACAGTTTTGGGGGCATTTAGGAGCCTTTCTTTAGGCTCCTCAACCAGATCGAAAGAGGTAGATTTGGGTGAGGGTCCATATGAAAAGTATGGAGCCTGGGTCCATCAGCTATTTTTATCTATTTTCTATGTTGCATGTTATCTTTTATTTGGCTTTAACGCCAAGTGAACATTATAAAAAGATTATAGATGCATGACACAACATATGGTTCATGATATCATAATCCATGTGTAGAAAATTATAAATTTTAGCACCATCAACTATGTGCAGTTTAACATTGGATTTTCTCTTTTGTAATGATTTCACAACCAACAGATTATTTATACATAATGGACACTTTTTCCTTCAATAATCGACAATCTTTTATGGCATTGATTTGCCACTTACCTGATTACACAGCCCTCATGGCATTGTGATAACACAAGAAAAGAATAGATGTGTCACAAACCCAATGAACTATAATTGCAAAATGGTTATACTTGGGAATAATGGAGTTGGTGAGGTTACAATGGCCAGCAAAGCTTCATACGGTTAGTCTTTTTACTACCAAAAAAAGGAAAGAATATTAACTAAAATTCAAAGGGTGTATGTAGTACCAATCACTTTCCTAATATCCTTGTAAATATCATTCTAAATTGCAAACCTAAACACAACGTTTTTAAAAAAACTGCCGGGTTGGATCGGAATTGCCCGATCCAACCTGGGAATCGTTCTACACCTAACGGTTCCCTGAATATATCAAGAACCGGCTAGGTCTAGAAAGGAATCAGTGATTCGCTACCGGGAACCGGAGATTCCCTTAATCAATGCTCAAACCCTATGAAAAATCGGCATTTTCACC